CTCTCCATACCTATTCAATATAGTGCCTGAAGTCTTAGTTAGCACAATAAAACAACTGAAGGAGATCAAGGGTATTCAAAGTGGAAAGGAGGAAGTCAAGTATGTTTATTTGCAGATGATATGATAGAATACACAAGTGATCCTAAATTATTCCACCAGAAACTTCTACAGCTAACTAACACACTCAGAAAGTAGCAGAATACAAAATGAACACACAAAGATTAGTAGCCTTCCTATACACAAATGATAAGCAAACAGAAAAAAATGAGGAAAATAATACATTTTTTCAATAGCCTCAGAGAGAGAGAGAGAGAGAGAGAGAGAGAGAGAGAGAGAGAGAGAGAGAACCAAGAGAGGGAAAACAATCCTGAGTAATCAAAGAACTGCTGAAGTATCACCATCCCCAATCTCAATCTTGTACTACAGAGCTATTGTAATAAAAACAGCACAGTATTGACACAAAACAGACATGCTGATCAATGGAATCAAATTAAAGACCCTATAGACACATGACTTTTGACAAAGAAGCCAAAAATACACAGTAGAAAAAAAGACAGCATTTTCAACAAATGGTGCTGGTCAAACAGGGTGTCCGCATGTCGAAGAAGCAGATAGGTTATTTACCACCTTGCATGAAACTCAACTCTAAATGGATCGATGCCTTAACATAGAGCCTTATATAGTTCTGTATCTGATAGAAGAGAAAGTAGGCAGTAGTCGTAAACTCGTTGGCACAGGAGAAGACTTTCTGAATGGAACACCAATAGCACAGGCACTAAGACCAACAATTAATAAATAGGACCTCATAAAACTGAAAAGCTTCTATATAGCAGAGGACACCATTATTCAAAGTAGCAGGCTACGAAATGGCAAAGGATCTTTACCACTTATACATCTAATAGGAGGTTAATATCTAATATATATAAACTAAAAAAATGTGCATCAAGAAGACACAACCCAATTAAAAATGAGGTACAGAACACAGAACTAAATAGAGAATTCTCAAAAGATGAAACTCAAATGTTTAAGAAACACTTAAAGAAATGTTCGACATGCTTAGTCATCAGGGAGATGCAAATCAAAACTACTTTGAGATTTCACCTTACCAATAAGGAAGGCCAGGATCATCAGTAAGACGAATAACAGGTCATGCTATAGAGGATGTGGGTGAGGTGAACACTCCTCCACTGCCGGTCGGAGTACAAAATTGCATAGCCACTATCAGGAAGCTGGGAATCGATCTACCTCGAGATCTAGCCTCTTGTACATACAGCCCCAAGGACTGTTCTACGACAGAGACTTGTTCTACTACACCCATGTGCATTGCTGCCCCGTTCATAATAGCCAGAGACTGGAAATAACCTAGATGTCTATCAAAAGATGAGTGGTTAACGAAAACGTGCTACAGTTATACAATGAGATATCATTCAGCTGTTAAAAGATGAGATTCACAGGTAAATGGATGAAGCCAGAAAAAAATATATCATCCATAGTGAGGTAACCCAGACCCCAAAAGACAAACATGGTAATACTCTCTTACATATCGAATGTTAGCTTTTAAGTCTTTGATAGGCATGCTACTATCCATATAGCAGCAGAGGTAAAGAATAGAGTAAGGGACCAGGCAGGGTGCAAGCAACCCCTACTGTAGGGGAAACAGAATACGCAGTTATAGAGAGACAGTGGGGAACATAGACACTGGAAAGAGAGGATTAAATGGAGAGGGAGTGAAGAAAGAAATAAAGGAGGGAATATGGGGAGGAGCTAACTCTAAGGGCCGTTTGAGGGGTCATATGGAAACCTGCTAAGGTAGAAACTCTTAAAAATACATATACAAAAGAAATCTACATATAATCACCAAATAACAAGCAAGACAAAGACCCAACTAGTCCTCTCTTACCACCAAGTGAAATCTCCAGCATCAGGAATGGGTTACACTTAGTTAAGTTGTTGGCCAAATGGGCCCCATGGAAACTCCCAAACAACTCAAGCCATTGGTCGTTCTCCACAAACGGATGGCAAGGCTCTACTGCCGAAGACAGATCACACCTATAGAACTCACTGAATACAAATAAATTGAGCTTGTGAAACATGTGCGTCAAGTTGTCAGTTGCAAAGGAACAATTATTTTTCTCCAATAGAACCTCACTGGACTTAGGGAGGCCCCATGAAGTGGATGGCCAACACAAAACTAACTCAGTGCTAGCTTTGGAGATGTTTTGCCTCATGATGCTTTGGGCATTTGTACCTTGTTTTTTGCTTACCTAATATGGTTTCATTTTTTTGTGGGTGTGTGTATGTGTGTGTTTTGTGTATGTATGTGTATGTATATATGTCCATGTGTATGTGTGTCTACATATTTCTGGTGCTTTTTCTTTGCTTCCCCCTCTCGTTTGTCTGTTTGCTTTGTTTTATTCTAGTATTTGGGGGGAGGGGGACCATATGTTTGAGAGAGAGAGAGAGAGAGAGAGAGGGGGGGGGGAGGAGGGGGATGATCTGGGAGGAGACAAGGGAGAGGAGCTGATCAGAATATAATATATGAAAAAAATTTAAAGTTGCAATAAAAGAGAGACGGATGGAAGGAGGAAAGAGTGATGGAGGGGAGAGAGAAAGTAGGGGGAGTGAAGAAGGGGGGGAGTGACAGAGGAGAGGGAAGAAGAATGAGGGAGGAGGGAGAATGAGGGAAGAGAGAGAGGAAGGAGGGGAATTGAGGGGGGAGAAGGGAGATGGAGGGGGAGGGAGAGGGAAGGAGGAGGGAGAGGGAAGGAGAGCGAGTGAGGGTGGAGGGGGGATGAGGGAAGAGAGAGAGAGAGAGGAGGAAGCTTGAGGGAACACCAAAGGGGAAAATCTAGAGAAAACATGGAATAGAAAGATTTCATAGGGAGAGAGTATGATATATGTCAAGGACACAAGAGAAGCCAGCATAGCCATAAAATGAAAATAAAAGGATGATATTCAAAGAAAAAAAGCAAATGAAGATCTGGACAAGTCAAGTAACAGCCAAAGTGCTTGGAGACTAAGACCTTGCAGCAAGCACAAACAGATGGTTTGCACCTTACCATAGTCTTCCTAGTGAAGAGCACAAGGGGTCATTTTATAATGCAACACACCAGGTAAAAAGTCTCCTGTCAGCCTGTCGTACAGCTTATGATAATCAGTCACACAACTAAATGCCAACCATGGAAACAAAGCAAGGCATATTGGGCTTTCCAGGCAAGCCGTGAGACTCTCTGCTCAGAGGCTTGTCTTTTGTGTTTCTTCTTTTCCTTTCTCTTTTATTTGGATAGGATGTGACAGCAGGACTCTAGCCACCAGACCTTGAGCCACAGGACAATGTACTAAGTGTGGGTGGTAAAGAAAAAGAAGGAGTTCAAGTCACTCAGGACCATGGACTTGCTATGGTCGCCTTGCTTTGCCCACCTCTTTTGGTTGGAGGCAGTCGACTACTGTCTTGAAATCTTGATGTGTTCCAAAAAGGAAAACAAGATGGTAAGAAAAGAAAACAGAGGATCGTTTAACAAGGATAGACTGGAGTTGGGGTTTCGGGGGAGGGAAGAGGAGCGGCAGGGCTGGGCTGCAGAAAATTATCAAGGATATCACGGAACAGGTATGAATTTGGTGAGCAAACACAAACAGCAGCAACAGCAGCCATTGGGTTAGGCTCAGGATGACTTGGCCAGGCTGTGTCTGTGTGTGTAGTGACCGGGAAGAGACAGCTGACATTTCTTATGTAGTTTTAAGCCTGTTCTGAGGTAACTAAATGCAAAAGAAAGCTGGGAATTGAACTAAAAAAATGTACATAATATACTTGAAAATACTGTGGAATAAAGATAAAATATATACAATATCAACCTATGTAATGGTGTACCCAAGTAAATTCTTTCTCCCTTAAGTTGTTTTGTCAAGCGTGTTGTCAGAGTGACAAAAATTTTTTTTTTTTTTAAGATTTATTTATTTTATTTATGAGTACACTGTAGCTGTCTTCAGACACACCAGAAGAGGGCATCCAATCTCATTACGGATGGTTGTGAGCCACCATGTGGTTGCTGGGATTTGAACTCAGGACCTCTGGAAGAGCAGTCAGTGCTCTTAACCGCTGAGCCATCTCTCCAGCCCCGTGACAAAAAATTTTTAAGCAAAATGGTTTATCCTGGTCTTGGAGGTGCCAGTCCATGATTAGTTGATTCCACTGATTTGTGCCTGCCAGTAGGGTAGCACACCAGGGTGGGAACACGTCATGGAATAAAAGTTGCTTATATCACAGGCCAGAGAGCAAGGGAGAACAGAGAGAGCACCAGCAGCCCCAAACCTCCTTGACAAGCATACTTCCAATGGCCTAAAGAGTTCCCATTAGGCTCCTCCTCTTAGAAGTCCAACCACCTCCCAATAGTACCATTCTGGGGCCATACATGCAATATTGGCCATTGAGTGGCATTCCAGATCCAAGTTATAGCAAGTTATAAATCACCTAGGATACAGCAAGTCCTCAAAGGTGATGACTCCTCTTTCCCTCGGGATTTCTCCTGTTCTATAATGGCTTTCTTTGTGACTTTGAGCTTGTAGATTTAAGAAAAGCTAGACTTCTTTAACTACCATCCCTTCATCCCACGGTGCCTGGTTTAGGAGAGTGCTCTTCTGCTGACAAACTGAGTGAGCCCTTTAGCAAGCAGGAAGAGACGTCCCTGCCAAAGGCTAACTTAGTCTGATTCACAGTGGTTATGCTTCAGCTGAACTTTGAGTGAAGGAAAATGATATTCAGTTACTAGCTCTAGCTCCCAGCTCTTATACACAGTAGATAGAAATTTCTGTCGAAAATTACCTAGTGTATACATAACAGGGTAGAATTGGAAATAATTTAACTGACACCTAAATTTCAACATTTTGAAATATATATTAAAATTACCAAAAGTTATGAAACCTGGGTTATAATAACCAGGTAGATGAAGCAACTGGTGGGCACCCCAAAGCAGGAGGCCCCAATATCATTCCAAAGCTCTTACCTTCTCCGTTCACTCTAGGCTGGGTGCACAGATCAGGAACAAGATGATCATGTGACTCACTCCTAGAAGTCTGCTGGTTCTGATAGGACTCTTGCTCCCTACAGGAGGCAGTGGACAACCTCTCAAAGGTCCCCGTAGGAAAGGACAAAGGAGACCCAGGGTCCAAGAGGAAGCTATCTTGTAGGGTTTGCTTGGCGCCTTTCTTACACTTGCGCTTCTGACTCTTTGGGATCTGGTTACCTTCTCTTGACCCAAGCTGACTACTCTCGAGCCCCTCTATTGGCTGGAGGAGCTGATCCATGTCCTTGGTGAACTCTAGCAGGGTCCCCTCAGAGAGGCTTCTGGCAGGGGCCTCAGAGCCGTAGCTGGGAGCCTTGTCCTGGAGCAGGTGCTCGGAGCAATGCAGGGCATCTGGGGCTTGTCTGGGCGTGGGCTCAGGAGACTGTGCAAGGCCACAGTGAGCCATGGAGAGTGCGAAGTAAGAGTAGTCCACTGCGATGTAGGTCAGCATGAAGTTGATGGTCACGATGGGCGCCAGAACATTCACCTGACCCACAAGGACAAAGGCCATGGTCACCAAGCTGGTCAGGCAGATGGCTGCTACAGGTGTTCTATTTGGCCCTTTCTATGAGAACAACAACAAAAATATAGAATTATGAAATTTCAGATAGAAAGATTCTGAAATTTTATAGTTAAATGATAAAAATCAAATGTAACATCTCAGGAACTTCTCACCAAGGACTGTTCACATGTAAACTTGGAAAAATCATATCCAACTCATGGGTCAATGTGAGACCTGAGCTAATGTGTGATAGCACAAGCCAGACATGGAGACCCAGGAGCTCCTGAACACCAGAGGCATGGGCAACATCACCATTAACAAGGGATGCTACGGTACAACTTTGGAAGTCTTAGTGTCTCAACTTCCCCAGATGGAAAGCCCCCATCAATTCCAAAACCCTGACCTCCTCCACTTACCCCAGGCTGGGTGCACAACTCAGGGACAAATTGTTCAAGAGAACTCGGAAGCTATAGCAGAATCACTGGCAGCCAGAACAGGACAATTCTGGTAACACACATGTGCATGCGCTCACGCACACTCAGTTACACTCTCCCTTCCTAGAAACTATCACAGCCACTCATATGCTTCTGGGGCCAAAGCACCGCCCCCGTCTCAGTCCTGTGCTCTTCTCCTGAGGAGCTTCATCCGACCCAGCGGTCCTTCCCCAGGATGAGTCTCTACCTGGCCTCCCTCCATTTGTCTCCTTCCTCCCCTTTCAGTCTTCCTAGCCCACTCTCCATGCCTCAGAGGCTGTATCTAAAGTAGCATCCTCACCTTGTCTCCCAGACTATCCCTTTTCTCCACCTAAACTCACTTACCCCACCCCATCCCACTCCCACCACCCTATTCATGACTTTAAACACCAGCTTTATGTTCGCAATGCCCAGCTTTGAACTTCCAGACTACAGGGCTCCCAGCACTCCTCTGGAATCAACTGGGGCTTCTAAGGGTGTATCAGAACCCATGCTGCCCAAGACTCTCCCCAGAACAATCCTTACGAAGGAGAAAAGGAAGGAGAGAGGAGGAGAGGAGGGAGAAAGAGAAGGACTGTATAATGTTTGGAAATTAGTTTTGGGGTGCATTTATTAAAGTGGTATAGAAGATTCTAACAGTAACATGACTGCAAATAAAGTAAGTCTGTAGAAACTCACAACTTTGAAAGAAGTTTCAAGTAAGCTGCCAAAAAAGCTAGTCTAGACCAAGACCTTGATGTGAACAGTCTAAATGAGCCAATGAGAGCCTTTCTCCACCAAGAGATGGACAGTCCACAGACTGGACAAAGATATGGAAGACAGACAGCGAATCCCTATGCATAATTGGAAAAAGACAGACATGGCAGGCGAGGTGGCTCAGCAGCTAAAGGTGTTTGCCAGCAAGCCAACAGCCTGAGCTGGAGCCCCGCGACCCAAGTGGTGGAAGGACAGAACCAGCTCTGAAAGCTGTCCTCTGACCTCCACACACATGGTGTAGTTAAAGGTACACACACACACACACACACACACACACACACAGAGAGAGAGAGAGAGAGAGAGAGAGAAAGAGAGAAAGAGAGAATAAACATATAATATAATAAAAGTCCTTTTCAAAAGGTAGCCCACTCAACCAAATGAGTAAAAGACCTGAACAAGCACCTCACCAAAGATATTAAACATGTGAAAACTGACCAACCTCATCAGCAATTAGAGAACACGAATTTACTGTATGGTGAGATACCATCAAATACTCACGAGCAGGGCAGACATGTAAAAACACAGAGGATTAGGATGGTCCATCCATCTCTGTAGCAGCATCAGTTAGTACAAATGCCCTGAAAGAGAGCCAGGTGCTACCCACCATGTGAAGCCAGGCACACGGAGAGGGTGAGACATTCTGGTAATGGGAATGCAGCCTGGAAGTTTACATCCAGCACATGCAACATCCATAAAACCCCAAATAACAAGCTGCTGCTACAGCACAGAGGAGGAGGAGGATGCTCACAAAGATACTGATGAGGGAAGGAGGATAGCAGAGGACACACACACACACACACAATTGCATGTGCAGGCTAAGTATTCTCAGTGTAAACAGATCTGTATCCAAAACGATGGAATTCTAAAAATCTGTATTCGACTTGCATGGAAATTGAATTGGGAACTCCCACATCATGAAACTTTGTTTCACGATGACAATGTCTAAAAATGTTGCGGACAATTACCTTCAGGCTAGGTGTGTATGAAACATGAATGAGCAGAGTGTAAAGATGCTGTACTATAGATATAGGAATATCCCAAAATATAAAACAAAGAAACCTCCAAAATCCAAAAAGCTTCTGGCCCCAGACAATAAAGATAAGAAACATCCAATCTGTATTAGAAGGCTTCACACTCAGCAAGCTGTTTAGAGACACATCTGAAGGGAGCAGAGTTGCAAGCTGAGGTCCCTGGGCCCAGTCTGGTTAAGCCATGAGCTACAAGTACCTTTGCATTTTAAAACAGCTTAGAAGAAATCAAAAGAAGAAGAATGTTTTGTCGCATTAAATTCAGATTTGTGTCCTTGGTTGGGGACTGGGTACTCTCTGTGGCAATTTCTGAGCGTCAACAGCAGAGAAAAGTGCTGGGGCAGATGGCTGCACGGGGCCTGCAACATCTAAGGTGTGTGTTGCGGGACATGAGAGGGCTGGGATTCTCGTCACAGAAGCCAGGGGGTACGGGGTGAGAGGGAAGGGCCTCACGGGGTCAGGGTGGGATTGGGGGGGGGGTCAGGTCGGCAGGGTTCCTTGGTGGAGGCTCCAGGGTGCTTACCTTATAATTATTCTTAAAACTATTTACATTGATTTTATGAACTTTCCCATCATGTTAACTGTACCTCAATAATGTATTTAGGTTTCTAGTGTTCTGCCATTTAAAAAGGAAATAAGCAAATATAATCATACATGAAGTCACGTTTAGGGGATGGGAGAAGCTTCCGATGTTAAAAGACACACGACGACCCGGGAGAAATATCTGTAATACAGATCACAAAGAGTTAACCTTCCTAGCCAAGAGCGACTAGAAATTGAAAATAACCTTAGTGACAGAAAAAAATTGCAAACAGCCACCAAACAGGAAGAGAGATTCAGTTTCAATCACGATGAAGCGAACACAAATCTTGACGTCCTGAAAGGTCATTTCTCGCTGTACACTGACAAAAACCGTTCACATAACAAGAAGCCACAGATATGTGCCTTCCTAACTCTGCCCTTGTCGCTGAACACAGTGTGCAAATGAGGTTCGTGCAGTTTCTAAATATTTACATATACAGACCAAGCTAATAACATAAATCTCAGCAAATATGTCTATCCTCCTATCTTGGCAGACACATCAACATGATAACGAGGAGGGCCAGGAGGAAGCTTAGAACTCTTTAGTCCTTGGCCTTTCATTCATTCGTTCATTTCTTTATTTATTTTAAAACATGGTCTCTCTGTGTAGCCCTAGCTGTCCTGGAACTTGCTCTGCAGACCAGCCAGCCAGGCCTCAAACTCACAGAGACCCGCCTGCCTCTGTCTCTGAGTGCTGGGATTAAAGATGTGTACCACCACCTCCTGGCCAGCCTTCCTCATCAACAGATGCCCATGCACAGGCCCATCCTCACCTCTTTGTAGACCACCACAACGGGGGAGGGGCACTCACTCATCCGTGACTCTCACCCCATGCCTGACTGTATCTAGATGGTGAGGGGCGTTTGCAGACTGTGGAGATAGGCTGGGGCCATCTGGGTGGGAAATCTGTAGGGCAGCTTCCTGGACACAGTATAAAGGCAGGTGCCGGGGACCCAGGTAGGAATGTTTCTATGACCCCATCAACATTTTGCATCCAAGAGGATGCAAATCCTATCTCATGGGCTAATCATAATTGTCAATTTGGTTGGGTTGAGAGACACCTAGGAGATCAGTGAAGTTTACTTTTGAATGTTTTCGAGGGTGTTTAACAGGTGATCTGACCATGTAGGCTCTGTCCTAATCACTAATACCAGCCATTTGACATGCTCGATTTTCTTTTTTGTTTTCTTTCTTTTCTTTCTTTGTGTGTGTGTGTGTGAGTGTGTGTGGTCTCTGTGTGTGTATGAGTGTGTATGTGTGTATGTATGAGTATGTGTGTATATGTATGTATGAGTCTCTATGTGCAAGAATGTGTATGTATATGTGTATAAATGAGTATATGTGTGAGTGTGTATGTGTGTGTGGTATGTGTGTATGCATGAGTGTGTGTACGCATGCATGTATGTGTGTGTATGAGACTGTCTGGTGTGTGTACACAGTAACCATAAGAGAAATATAGTTAATAGTTATAGTTAACAATTTCTGAGATTCTACCTCACCCGAGTCAGAAATCAAGAAAACCAACATCAGCAGATGCTATAAGGATGTGAGAGAGGGGAATTCTTTCTCACAGTTGGTAGGAATGTAAACTGATATAGCAACTATGGAAATCAGTGTAGAGTTTCGTCAAGAAGCTAAAGCTAGAACCACCAAATGATGTGGTCATATCACCCCCGGGCACACACCCAAAAAGCTCTGTATCGTTTTTATGGAGATACCTGCACATCCGTGTTCATTGCTGCTCTATTTACGATAGCTAGGAAATAGACTCAGCCTAGATGTCCATCAGCAGAGGAGTGGGTAATGACAATATGTTTCATATACACAGAGGAATTTTAGTCAGCTATAAAGAAAAGTAATGAAATATGCAGGAAATGGATGGAACTGGAAAATATCACACCAAGCGAGGTAACTCTGGCTCAGCAAATGGCACCCATTCTGTCTCATGTGGACCTTGGCTTCAAAGTTTGAGGCTTGTATGTTTAATGTGGTGCATCTCTATAAAACAGGAATCTGGAAAGGCCACACCTGTGGGAGGGGTAAGGGAAGGAGCTTTAAAGGGGAGAGGAGAGAGGAACGTGTGATATGAAGGATGAGAGGCAGGCAGGATAGCACATGTTGTTAATCCCAGCACTTGGGAGGCAGAGGTAGAAGTTTGAGGCCAGGCTGGTCTACATAGTAAGTTCCAAGACAGCCAGAGCTACCTAGTAAGACCCTGTCTCAA